ATTCAAAATATTCTGAATGATTCAAAATGTCGGCGAGGCAGTGGCGCAGTAGATAGTGCTGACGCCTCCCAGCATGAAGGTCGCTGGGTCGCTGGTTCGAACCTCGGCTCAGTTGTCGTTTCTGTATGGAGTTTGCATGTTCTCCCTGCCTTCGTGTGGGTTTTCTCCGGGTGCTCCGGTTTACCCCACAGTCCAAAGACATGTGGTACAGGTGAATTGGGTAGGCTAAATTGTCCGTAGTGTGTGTGTGTGTGGATGTTTCCCAGAGGTGGGTTGTGGCTGGAAGGGCATCTACTGCGTAAAAACTTGCTGTATAAGTTGGTGGTTCATTCTGCTGTGGCGACCCCGGATTAATAAAGGGACTAAGCCGACAAGAAAATGAATGGATGAATGATTCAAAATGTCTGTTTATTTATATCTCTATGTAAGTATATGCTGAAGTATCCTTCGCCCAGGAGTCCTGATTGGTTTCATCTGTGACCTAGAAATGCTGCACTTTGTGCATTTGGTAGTTGTTTCTAAGAAAAGACCTCCGTGATAAGGATTTATGTCTTTTTGTTTGTTTAGAGAAAAAAAAATTAATAAAATAAAAAAAACATATTTAAGCAAGTAAACCTTTTATACAGACCATGAGCAGTTTCTCCTGCCTGTTTGCTGATCATTTCTCCACAACTTATTATAAAGTGTTACTGACTGTCTCTGAGGCAGCCAAGTGTTAGAATGAATGTCAGAAGCAAACAGTTCCTGCTGTAAGCCTCAATAAATCTCTGGGCTTGTCAAACAAGATGCACTAGCAGAACATATATAATACCCCATATTTTCCTCTGTGAACATTCTGCAAGGAATATCTTTTTCCCAGTTGCATTAAAAATTTATAAAAAAGTGCATAAAATAAAGAATTCAGGCATAAAAAAAGTATTCAGGCTAAACCACAAATGCAGCGAAAACAATGACAACGGTTGTTCTTCTGAGAATCAAAATATGGTCACAAGCCCCACACTGCTGGCATCACAAGTCTAGATGTCTGTTCAGTGAAGAAAGACTTCCTCCACTGAGAATGTGACTGCCGTATCACAGCGACAGTCTAGTGACTGCTGCCACATTATCTGTTACAAAACACAGAGGACGAGTCAAACATGCTGTTTCAGCATGAGACTTTCAGACTGCTCGTGCACAGAAGAGCCACGGGATTTACGTAAATTAAGGCTATAGAGGCAGAGAAAATTGGCTGGTACAAACTGAAGTCACAGTCGACGAAGAATTCAAAACAGCTTTTGTAGCTTTTGGAAAGTTCATGTTCTTGGATAACACAGTGACTATTCTCATGTTGAATGTCAAACAACCATGCACTTCATCACTGACAACTCGTGATGAACACACTGTGTGCTTCATATGAGGCAAATGCCAACTTCCTTTTCTGTATTGCATTTCACATTACGAAATAAAGATTATAAATAGGCAGGCATGATATAATGAAAGTGTGTGTGTAAATAGTATTGCGTTGTATGTGTCTGATTAAAAACTGTAGTTAAATATGACTGCATACAAAAGCTTTTATATTACAAAAGCTCCAGCTTTCTGGGATGAAAAATTGCTCTTCTTTTTCATTTGAGACAGAGCATAAATCTGCCGTAAATTTCTGTCAGCTTACATCCTCAAACTGTTTTGCTTCTCAATTCAATAACCTGTGCTCTTAAGCAAGACATTCATATTTTCAAATAAGCTTTATGCAGAATTATGCCTTACAGCCTTTATCAAATGAGACAAAGGCTAAATTGGCAAGAAATAAATAGGATGCTGAGGTTAAATAAGGACAAAACCTTGGCAGGAACAAAGACTATGGGGAGTCATCATCATCATCTGGCAGACAAATACTGAAACATCCTTAAACCTTTTACATTTAGTTTCTCCTTCGCTTCCTTTGAGAGCAGGTGTAAAAATGATTTATCTTCATATACACTTATGTTTCTAAATGCATTGTGTAAACTTGATAGAAAGTACATTCGCTGTAATGGTAAATTGCATGGCAAATACCTCCCCATCCTTGTTAGCTCTAAATCAAGGGCGTGAAGACAGAAAAAGCATCAAAGGAACCAGGCTGCTAGTGAATCCTCAAATCAACTGTAGAGATGTCAGAAAGCTTTGACATGTTAAAATGAGCGAGGATCTGCTGCACAAATGCTATGCCTGCTTTAAAAGAAGCAACATTCCTTGACTGTGTGTTGCCTCAATCCTATGAGCAGCTGCAGTTAAGGGCTAACGTCAAGAATGTTTTAATACAAGGGAGCCCCAAATGCCATGATCCCATTGAGAGGTGCTCCCTCCTAATTGTGTATTAGAAATATGAGAAAATTAGAAAAATGAGAAATATTTATGAACATGATGTTACTGAAATGATAATAGTATTCATGTTATAATATACGCCTTTTTTATGCAGAGTGTTTTGTTTTTGCTGTTGTTTTACTTCAGGTATGAAATGACAACAAAATGAATGAATAAACACATTTTAACTATAAAAAACTATTTCTATAACTTTGTTTTTCAGACAATCAGACAAATACATTAATATGTTCAAAGTTTAACTAATATGTGTCTGTATAAAATCAAAATTTGCAATTTATGCTAGCTTACATTGTTATTCTTAATTGAATAGTTCATCCATGCAAGTTAATCCACTGACAAAAAATAAATAAAATTCAATCAAAGTCTGACCATTTTCTTCCACATTTGGAGTGGCAATGATGGCTTTAATAGCAACTGCATCAATTTTCTTAACCACCTCCCTTTACCATTAGTTTGCTATGACAGAATTTTGACAGAAAGCCAGTACTCAATATTTTGTTTCAGTTGGAAGAACATGGACATACTGAAATAAAAATTTCTGCAGCTTTCGGCTCTGATCACCTACAACAGGCACAGTTCTGCTAGTCAAAATCTAAACTTCTACAATCTGCCTCTGCCAGTTCTAGTCTCAACTAGCTGCCTGCCATCCTAATGGATGCCACTGCCTGTTCAAGCTAGTCTCACATAGCCATGGCTTTAACTCAGCAGCATAAGGTCTGGTTCACATTGCAGCTTATTTTGGCCAAGAACAGCCCACTTCTACAGGAAGAGACTCAAATTGCCTAGACTCAAAGTGCCTTTGGGGCATTTTCACGCTTGCACATTTGTAGCAGTTGTTTCAGCTTCTTAGTTCAGTTCATTTTGGCATAGACTGCATGTAAATGTGAATCAGACTTAAATCTGCAACAAAACACTCACCCCATGATAAAACTGCTTTGAAATGAGCTTGCAGTTTGCTTGTTATGAGAATCAATCTAAGCCCAGCAGACTATTAAACCAGGCTTTATCACAATATATGACAACAGTGATACTTCTTATACAACAGCTACATAGAAAGCCTCAAAAAGAGCTTTATTGCGAGGTATGTCCACACATATGTGGAATTTGTTTTTGTGACGGAGCTTTTACAGTGCAGCAGAATTACAGAGACTGGACATAAAAACTGATTGTTTTTAAAGCTTGTGGTGCTACATAAGCTTGTGGTGCTATGGTTTCTCTAACTCGAAGTAAGACAGATATGAGCAGAATGCTATAAACAGGTGCACAATAACCCATAGATTGAATGTGACATTTGATTCATTTAGAAATGTTGCCTTGTGGGAGTGAACTAAACCAAGAAGAAACAGCAAAGCTATATCAACTGTAGTCTCAGTTTCAGAACAATGTCAACTATACAGAGGTGTTAATGGCCTTTAGACGGGTCATTTGAAATTTATTATACCACAATAACAAATAAGCATAAAAAATGCAATTGTGCTATCTAAACTGTGAACGGTTGTACAAACTATGAGTAATTAGAGTTATAAAAATTTTTGCCTTAGCACAACTCAAACACGTTCTACATGATCGTTATCTCTTCGCCAAACATGATTAATTCAGTTTATTCAGACATGATTCAATTGGCTTATCCAGATGTGCTCCCAAACTGTCAAGCACTTTTCTTTACACACATAATGTTAAGTATAGAGAATGAGAAATGTGCTCACAGCTCAATGCATTCTAGGAATTTGGATCCCATTGACCTCTGAAAGTTGGTGGATCACTTATCCCCTGGTTTGCAATAAATTGCAAGCACTCACACCACAAGTAAAGAAGATTTTATTTTCTCTAGGAAACTCTTCGATACTCTGTTACTTATGGATAAGCTCATTGATTTATTTGAGCCAAAATCTCTTCATCCGTGCTCGGCTTATCTAGTTTCACTTTGGTGATGGAGACCAAAAAATATGCAATTACCATTTTCCACTTCTCAGACACACAGACTGTTTTATAATCAATATAATTTTACATTAGTCCAATTTATTATGAGTGTTTGTAAGATGTTTTTCAAAAAGTGTAACTATAAAACTGTCTGCTTTTTCTGTGGTGATTTGCATTGGTTTTTATTATGCTCTCATAAGCATGTCATGCCAGAACACAACTCATCATGACATAGATTCCCATTCTCTATTGACAGCCTAAAGATAATACTGGTTCTAACCATGACACTTCTATAGCTGTTTATGTTAAAGACAGTTAAGTTCCTAGCAGGTCCTTAACCCAAGCACACACTCAAAACTTCACCACAACAGCAAACCTTTCAATAAGACTACAATAAAGGTAAAACTCAAAATGCAAGTCTATACACTTTCTCATCTTACTAAAAACATCCATAAAATGACACTTTAATTTAATATTTACACACCCTAACTGCCACTTTAAAAGAGGTGTAATGAAAAATAGAAATATTAATGTCCAAGCTAACTGATTTAAAATCTCCTTTTGAAATGAGCATAATGAGTGTAATTCTGTCAGCCAATCAAACTGGAGCTTGGAGTTTTCATTAGTGTGTGTAAAATGCATTCAACTGTGAACGGTCTGTGGGTGACTGAGAACAGTTCTAACCTCAACAATAGCTGAACATCTTGAAAGCTGGAAAAGCAGCACTATGAACTTACTGAAACCTGCCACTGCCAGGATGAGCGTCACCACAATGGAGATCCAGGACACCCACAGGGCTTTCTTCCTGTAACTCTGAGCCTCATGAGGCTTCAGGCGCATGCTGCTTTCCAACAGACCTGTCAAAAGAGCACACAAAACACTGGTTAAAAGCCATTATACAATTACATGAAGTGCACCGGGGTAACAAACAACGTGGGCTGATTATTTACTCACCGGACCATGACAGGCATTGAGCCTAGGGTAGAGATATTAAAGAGCCTCTATATGTCAGATGCAAAGAATGGTAAAATGAATCTGCACTGCCAGAGCAGCAATCCTTCTGTGTTTAATTAGCGGAGCAAAATGGTTTCAACAAGATTTAGATGACACTAATAAATCCAGTTTATCATGTATCAAGTCAGAAAGCATACGACTTTAAACGTCTGTTTAAACAGCCCTGCGAGATCTTTAGCTACTGGAGGATGTGACAGAGATAATACAAGGCTTGTTAATGTTAGCTACAACTAAAAGAATTTAACTAAAACTATTTTGTTGCTTTAAATAAAAATGTCAATATCATTGTAAAAGATATCCTGCTATGATATACCCTGAAAGGTGCAGTAGGTGATCTGCCAAAATGCTAACCATTAGCATAATAGCTTTGAAAACACAGTCCCTCCCCTGTCGTCCAAAGCCACAGCTCCTGAAATCACAAACTTGCACAATAAAGATGACAGTAGACAACCCACTAGATCATGTCATTTGTCAGTTAGAAATTTTTATAGTCTTTAATAATAATAGAATTCCAAACAAAAAACTGTATTGTATGTAGCACATTTTCAGTTGTGTAGCAAGCAAAACTTGTGATTATGTGTAATATTTCATGCATGCAAGGATCTCTGGTCTCATTCTCTCCAAATAACCCATTCATAATACAACAAAATCAACAAAGTTTTGCATTACTAAAAAAACTTTTTGAACATAACCTGTCTAGAAGAAATGAAATTTTTTACAGTCATGGGGCTCTATTTTGACGGTCCATGTGCAGAGCGCAAAACGCAGGGCGCAAACGCTTTCAGGGTGTGTCAGAACGCATTTTTGCTAATTTACGGACGGGAAAATCCGCTTTGCGCCAAGGCGCATGGTCTAAAGGGGTTGAGTTTATTTTCTTAATAAGTTATATAGTTTATTTTGAGAATAAACCAATTAGAGTCTCATCTCTCATTCCCTTTAAGAGCCGGCTGTGTCTCGCCATAAGCACATTCGCTATTTACAGGATGTAAAGTAAGTGTAAGTGGAAAAAATTAGCATTTCACAAGCAAACAGTTTACAGTTAACAGTTTTTTTTAACAGAAAACTGTTAAACAGAGCATCTACTGCGTAAGAATGAGAGATAATGGATCACTTTCATTTTCGCTCTTGGATAGGGAAACCTTTAGGCACAGACATCAATTAGTCTATAAATAATTAATTGCGTTTGTTAAGCGCAAATATTCGTTTCAAAACTATTTCTAAATTCAGTTCTAATTTCTAGCAAACAAATAAATGAACAATATTAACGAAGTGTGTTCAAAAACCTGAGTTATATCCTAAAACACATGCTGTGCCCCTTATAGTCTAAAACCTGACAGGTGGGCAAATCTAAGCTTGTTTTTAATAAAACAAATATAAATATGGATATAATAAATAATACTGCTAATAATAATAACATTATACAAAAGCAAAATGTTATGAATGAACTAAAAAAGCCTCCCGAGATGAAGAAGACATAAAAGCAGTGATTTTTCATATTTATGTAGGCTAGAAAATAATGTTTTGTAATATTTTAACCCTTTATATTTATATTCTATATCTATTCTTATTATATCCTATATATATCCTTAATATTTAATTTTTTTCATATGTAAAGATATTTGCCTATTGCTCTCTTGTGCGTATTAAGCCGTGTGTAAGCGAGGCGCAACTCTGCGCCGGAGTTTAGACCGGGTTTGTTTTGGTCTAATGAAAAATCAATTTTAGTTTCTCAAAATTGCAACGCGCCTGCAGTGCGCCTCAGAACACCTTACTTTTTAGACCAAAAGGCCTATGGGCGCACATCTGAGCGCAAATGCATTTGCTATTTAAACAGCGTAGCGCAACGCCTTAAAACGACTCTTGCGCCAAGCTAAAACTACCAAACAAGTATTGCGCCGCGCCTTGCGCCACGTTGCGCCGGGTGTATGATAGGGCCCATGGTGTCATCCTTCTCTAAAAATTAAAATTGCAAAAGTAACTCCACTATTAATTCAGGATTTTAAAAAGTTTTGATTCAGCATTAGTTTTTACTGTTGTCCTTCTCTTTCTCTTTGTCCACGCCCAAACTGCGACAAACTGTCTGCAAAAACAGGGGTGTGCAGATGTACAAATATACATTTATTGACAGACAGTTTGGGTTATTTTTTAGAACTATAATAATTATTGCCCTGTCAATTTTTAATTGGACGAACATTTTTTAGTCTTATGCCTTACCCAGAATATAAAAATACATATAAATACATTAAGATCATTTACCTAAATCATTACTATTAAAATGTGAAGAGACTTTCAACCAGCACAACAAAAATGTTTCTCAAGAAAATCACCTACTGCACTTTTAAGGCTTTATTTTGAATAAGGAAGTTTTACATACATAAAGATAACATTCAAATCTCTTGTAATGTAATGTATTTCTCAACTTTTTATTTCACATATCTTTGTTGAATGAAAGTGCTTTTATCTTTAACAAAGGGTAATTAATAATCTATATACAATGGTGAGCAATAACTTGACAACAAAATCACACGGTGAGATGTAAAATTATCAATTCAGAGAAAATATGTGACATTATCTTGTGTTTAAAAAAAAATCCAGAAGCACACTTTCACAGACAACAGCACAACATACAAACTGCTAGTTCAATGTTTAGCTGTGGTCTCTATCTAATCCAGGACATGCAGTTTTCAATTGATTGTATATACAGGACAATGCATCAGTATTCCTTCAACAGAGTCTTTATCAGACCATTTTTAAAGATAAAGACTACACCACAGCTCACAAATTTAACTGACTGCAATGATGAATGAGAGCCACAAAACCTGTTGACTGCCTATTTTGTAGTGTCCAATATTGTACTGTGCTTGCCAAATAAGAAGTACTCAAATATGCCTCAGTCAACTGTTCAGATAAATGGCAGCTATGTGATTGTGACAGAGAGTGGCTGTGTTTGTCATGCACACCACACTGCTCTGTTAGCCTGTGGAAGTCACATGCTGAGGGTTAGGAGCTGAGAGCCAATAGGTGGTCCGTCAGAGTGATTGTAAAGAGCTGAAAAAACAGAGCTGGGGAATGTCACATGAGTTATTTTATCAGCCAGGATTTGGAGCGTGAGATCAAGTCTGTTACATAGACTTATGTATATTTATATATATATTTTGCTATTATTTTGCCTGACTTCCAGTGATTTACCTGTGTTAAATGGAGTAGATTAAGTGACAATCCAAGTAGCGCTGTACTTTTTTTTTTCTCCTGAACAATTTCACCTATAAATTGCTTTTATTGTTGTGTGTGTTGGGGGGTGGGGTGTTTGAATGGTGTCATGGTGGCGCAGTGGGTAGCACGATTGCCTCACAGCAAGAAGGTCACTGGTTCGAGACCCAACTGGGTCAGTTTGCATTTCTGTGTGGAGTTTGCATGTTCTCCACGTGTTCGTTTCCTCCGGGTGCTCTGGTTTCCCCCACAGTCCAACAACATGCACTATATGTGAATTGGATAAGCTAAATTGCCCATATAGTGTATGTGTGTGAATGCAAGAGTGGGTGTTTCTCAGTGTTGGATTGCAGCTGAAAGGGCATCCACTGTGTAAAACATATGTATGTTTTACTTATATGTAACATAATAAGTTGGTGGGTTATTCCGCTGTGGTGACCCCTGATTAATAAAGGGACTACTCCGAAAAGAAAATAAATGAATGAGGAGGTTTCCAAAAAATTCCCCTATTAGACGGTAAAGTCTTGATCGGATATACATATCAATATGGCAGCATTTTTATGACACTATAACAATAATACATATATTTACAGTACTGTGACGGTTGGGTTTAGGGTTGGGGTAGGGGTGGACGCTAAAAAAACACTTTTTTGGGTAATTTAATAGATAACATAAGTAATACTGGCGAGGCAGTGGCGCAGTAGGTAGAGCTGTGCAAAATTTTATAAATAATTTAAATAATTTTCATTAACTTCTGGCTGCAGCCAAATCTGATCTAGGAAAAACCCTAATAGACCCTGCCTTGTGTTACCCCTATTTACAGTCATTGGTTAGCCCTCATTTGTGCTATGACATTGGCCATAACGTAAATGGGAATTCGTCCAAAAATGCACAATCTTTTCAGCTTTTTAGTGTGGGAGGAAAGATGTGTTTGGCTGTACCATCATTGATGTGATTGTCTGGATTATTTTTCATTTCTAACTACTGGCATCCCAAGTGGGTTTTTGCTATTTCCTATTAATTTTGTAGTCACTGTGTGGACCACTTTATTATTTTGCCTTTATTTTGTGATTATTCGGAAAGTTCCTGCTGATCTAACTATTTTTTTCACCTCTTAAATCATCCAGTAACAAGCCTATCATATTGAATGGTGACAGAGTTTGCTAAAATTGTAAGAGCCCTGGTCATTATGCTGTAGAGCTTTCCTGCATAGTGGATCTGTGTTTGAGCAAACCCGTTCGCATTCTGTGGGATACAGGTTCAAGTCTTTCACTTATCATTGAGTGAGTATTCAAGGCTTTGCTATTGAAGTTATGGACGTTCCGTTACACAAAATATAACTTCAGTCTGAATTGATGTCAGGTGATATGGTAGTGGGTATTTGTCAATATCTTTCATTTCCTGTAGTAACATTCATTTTATGAATTGACTTAACTAGATGTAGTGTGTGGGTAGATGTGTGTGGAGTCATTCTAACATGTCACATGAAGTTGTTTCAGTAACTTTTACTGCTGACACTGATGATTGCGCAAAAGCTGATCTCATTCGTATGCATGCTAAGGAGGATGCTTGTCAAGATCATGATGACTTGTCTTTGTGTCTCAATAAATTAATAGCTGCTCAAAGGTTAGATTCTACTCTTGCCCAGGAATATGAATTGGCTTGACTAGAGCAGGAGATTATGAGTGAGCCCCAGGCATACTTTCTCCAAAATGAGATTCTGATGAGAAAATTGATGTCCCCTAATTATCCTGATGACAGGAATACAGTCGGCCAAATTAGTTCCAGCAGACTATCAAGACATTTTTAAGTGTTAAATATAATGGTATGACTGGTCATTTAGGTGTGGTAAAAAACACATCACCAGATTTAAAAAAAAAAAAAAAAAAAGTCCTAGTTTAAAGTAAGGTGTTTCATATTTTTCTTAGACTTGTTACATTTGCCGAGTGGTAGAGAAGCCCGAATTATTCCATCTGCACTTATCATGCTGAGCATCAGGGTGCATTGAAGAGGTATCGCCAGACCGGTCTATATTGAGTGTGTATTGTTTTGAGCTCAAGAGAGACTGGGAGAAAGAAAATCCATGGCTACTTTTTACTTTTTGGTAAGAATAACTTGCATTCAACCCTGCAGAAATTGTTTTGTCCACATCTGATTCTTTATTTTTTTTATTTAAGAGAGCACCACTATTCCTGAAAAGCACCACTATTCCTGTGGAATTTTCACAGTTTTCACAGATTTTCCCACGGTTCTGTAGATGTAAAAGAAAAGGTTAATATTAATAATTATTGATAATTTTCAAACATTTAGTACAACAACAATAATAATATTAGGCCTATGTGCAGGTCTACGGTTGGTTAAAATGCTTAATTTTGTATAGACTTGGAACAATGGACTTGAATAGACTTCAAACTTGTCCTGGTCGTTCTTGTACTGTTATGTGATAGCATTAGAATATAACTGTTCATAATTTTAAAATTGAATTATTATGTTTGAGACATATGCTTGTCATCCATCATTAACAACATTATTAGACCATTTATTTTTTTCACTGGTAAAATCAGACATTTGTCATCATCTGATTTCCACTTGCATTAGATTCAGCATTATATAGGCTGGATTGGAGTAGTTACAGTAGACACTGTAAAACATTTCATTTCATGCACAACACTTTGTGTTCGCTATGAAAGAAAAAAACATATCAAATGCTTGTGGTAATTATAACTTTACAATGCGATATGATCATTAAAATGACATGTGTGGTTTTGGTTTCACTTTCACTGGAAAGTGCGCTCATGTCATGGCTGCTGTCACTTTGAGAAAAAAAAAAAACAAGTGCAAATCATGCTTCCCGTGCGCCTCCTAAACGATCGCTCTGTGCAACAAACTGAACATTATTTACAACTTTATACCTGTTATTCACAGCCCATGCAGGTTCTGTTTACTAAAGTATACGTCATTTGCGGGCATGCATGGATCCTCCCAGTAGTAAACAAACGGCTAACATGTGATATCCTGTCCGCGATTACATTAAGACAGAAATGACATTTTTGGGTGAATTATACCTTGAATACAGTGTGTGATACTTTTAACACCATTTGGAGGTGACCACATTGCTGAGCAATGTATATAAAACAACATGAAGACATTATTTACAAGTTATGATTATGACTTTACCGCCTTATGCTTCTCTCGAACTTGAAAATATAATTGGCTGAATCGTAGAGATGCTGCATTAAGATCATGTGGGGGGTCAAATCAAGATCACAATCTTTTTTCGATTTCGATGAGTTTGTCATGTGTGAACATAATTTAACACCATCTAAAGGGAAAGCCATATGTCATCACAGATACATTCATTCCTGAAATACCTGCGATCAGGTTGCTCCCATTTGAACCACTGGACAGTTTATAGTAAGCTGAAACATTCAGAGATACGCGGAAGTTTGTCCAGTCAGCCACTCATATGTCTCCAACTGTGAAAGCTGATATCATTGAGTTGGTGTGTAGATTTACAGTGTTGTTCAGTGACATCCCTGATGTCAGTTATCAAGCATGATATTGATGTTAGTTTACACTGCCAAATACTGTCCTGAAAACTGACAAGGGCAGATGATTGCAGATTATGTAGTTTCTGCAGTTTATGTTTAAAACTAAAACTGTTAAAAGGACACTGGCAGGGCCACGAACTGATCGTGCTAAGGAGACTGGCATTAGTCACCCCTGACACTTTTCTTAATTATAGGCTGATGGCATTTGGAATGAAAAAGGCCCCAAGCACTTTTCAGTAGCTCAATAGCACAGTGTTGGCTGACGTTTCCAGTTGCACAGCTTACTTTAGACAATGTGGTTTTGTACATCTGCTCATGGCCTGTACATATGTACTTATTTTGTCAAGTTTTCAATCTTCTGACTAACTCTAAATGTACTGTAAACTGACGAAAATATATTGGTAATACCATTACTGTGACTGGGGTCAAGTGTGGTTGATACATGAGTGGTCCGCTGGCTGATAGACACGACTTTCAAATGCTCCAGTGTTTATGTATCTGTGTAAGCGTTTGATGAAGACCAGTGAAGTGATTTTGAAGTGAAGTGGACTGTCATTTGTAAGCATTGATCCTAATTTTTGCTCTTCTAATGCACGACACATGAGGAGTCTCACACTTGAAAACATGAACGGTCTATGGAGGAAAATAAATGATGATATTTTGAAAATGCGCAACCTTTCTGTACTGCTAATTCGACCACAGATATACACACATATACTGTTGTCAGGCAGCTGATTCCCCAGGCCACTTAAGATGCCAGGGTTTTTTTCAGCACGAACTCAGAGCTCTGAATGAATTTGGTTCATTAACTCAACTTGTAGGAAAAGTCATAATGGAATAAAGCATTATGTAAAGAAAAACCAGACATGCTTATCTTTATACTTATAAAGATATACATAATTTCTGACAAAAGTTGCTGCATGATCAAATTCAATAGATAAATAAGAAACCTTTTAAACACAGATTTAGCTTTCGGTGTACAGTTCAGCTTACATCAACTATAAACTATTAAAATAACTATAATACAAATTATCTCCCAGAGATGGGTTGCGGCTGGAAGGGCATCCACTGCATAAAACCTGTGCTGAATAAGTTGGCGGTTCATTCCGCTGTGGCAATCCCGGATTAATAAAAAGGACTACACTGAAAAGAAAATAATTAAATGAATAAATGAATGAATAATTCTCTCTCTCTCTCTCTCTCTCTCTCTCTCTCTCTCTCTATCTCTCTCTCTCTCTCTCTCTCTCTCTCTCTCTCTCTCTCTCTCGAAATTCAATTCAACTCAACTCAAAATTGCTTTGGTGACATGAGTAAATTATACAATGTTGCCAAAGCAAGAAATGGGTGGACAGATTTAAAACTACAATGAAATCTAAAAATAAAAGAATAGAAACAAAGAAAAATCATAATAATATAAACTTAATATAAGAAATAAGAACATGTGAACATTTCAAACCACAGTGTTTAACATACACACATACACAGACAAAGGGTCATTGTGGTAGACAGTAGCATACAGTAATACACACATTACATACACACATAAATGAGTTTATCTCTCTTCCCATTTAAATCAAAAATATTTTGACTGGTTGTCAGTGTTTTTAATATCACTGTTCAAACTATTATCTGAAAGTGATTGTTACTGTACAATATCAATCTACTGTGAAATAAATTTCAACAATTTTTAAAACTATATGTTGTTATCGCCCTTGGTGTTAATGGCCCAGGGAACCATTCAAGAATTATCAAATAACTTGTTTGAGCAGCACATAACGTGGCCGACCACATGATGTGTTTGTCAGTTAGGGTCAGGATCATTTGAAATGGATTACACCACACATATCCAAGTGCTAATAAAAGTGACTACTGCAGAGCAGACTGCAGTTGACTTTGAACAAAAATTCCAGTTTCTGATTCTTCATTAATTTGACTTTTTATAAGGCTTCTTAGTCACATTCTAATGCCCCCACAATTTCACCAGTAGAGAGTTGAAGGGTCTTATGAATTATTCAGTGGCTCAAACTGACTGCACAGAGGGGAGCTCCAGCATACAGCAACACTCAGGTCCTGCAGGTGCAGAGACTAATGCTGCTTCTAAGAGTGGAAATGCTGATGTGAGATAAAGATGCACCTCTGAACAGCTTCACTTGAGGTGTGAGTCGGCCGTACATTTGAGCTCTATTTGACCATGAGCAAATACAAACTTTCCAGTCGTAAAAAGATGGATGAGACTGTAAAAAAAACAAATCCTTAAAAGGACTAAAAGACAAAATTACTCAAAAATGACTGTTAATAAACTCCATTAGGAAAACCTTTGAGCAAAATGTCATTTTGGCAGGACTATGCTCAACAAGCAGTTAATATTGAACGGTAATAAAACCACATAAAAAAATCAAAATATATTATTAGTATTAATATTTAATTTAAATTACTTATAATTTTTATGACTCTATAGAGAAAATCGAAACGTGACGTTGCAAAGTTTACCAGCTACATCACTGCTGACAACCAAATAGCATCAAAGTGTAACCCCATAATGAACAGAATTTATATGCAATACAAGAAAACATTCACAAACTTTGTTTTCCAACATGAAACTTTGACAGCCGCTTTGCATTAGACAGACACTTTGCGACCTCGCGACGTGACGAAACTGAATGAAATGAAGCTGCTCCACTGAAACTGACAATATATTTATAAACAGCGTACAAATAATGTTGAAAACTGAATGGTTTTTATGCACACCTGAATTATTAATAGCTTCAAGAGCGCCTGCGTGCGCCAATGGACCGCAACCTTCGCGAGCCCCTCTTATTTACATCACATCCCAGACCAAAACACTTTGAAGAACATCCCTGTCTTTTAAATGCATCCTAAAACAACTGTAGAAAAGTAGACATTGGTCTGTTGTATATCTATAAGAAATGTTTACCTTGGCCCTCAACGCTATCTGTGATTTTCATCTCCTGATCCTGGTCCACATTAAAAGGGTCGCCCTGGCTCCCTCGTTTGGGTAGGTTTGGATCCTGGGCAGCAGCGCATTGTCCGTTTCGCACAGCCGAAGGGTCCACAATAGTCGGATTGGGAACAGGACACAGATCTGAAGTCGTACTGTCTGTCATTGTTAGCTTTATTTGTTTTCTTGCTTTTTAAATCAAATGAAGTCTTCAATAAATAATCTCACGTCGATCTGCGTCGCGCAGCCATCCAGTGGCAGCATTAAGGGTAGCGGAGCAGAGATGCGGAGATAAACGCAATCTGCCCAGCATCAGCAACGGACCCCCACCGCACCCTCCCACCGAGAACAACTCCAATCCGAGCGCAAGAACTGCAGCCACCCATTCGACATGGGGATAGTTTGGTTAAGATCCTGTCACGCTTTCCAGTTTCAACATATCTTGACACAATCCGATCGAAGCTAGAGGCGATAAAGCCTATAGTTCCTCCTTCAGATGGACACAGATTAGAGTCTTGTCAAGTGTTTGACTGCCTCACCTGCCTGCCAGAGCCCTGTCCAGTCCTCAATGAGATAACGACTGAATGACACAATGTTATGATTGTGTTCCTTTCAACTGTGTTTATTCAAGTCTAATGATGTTTGCGCTAAGAAATATCGGACAAGCAGTAGTTTTAAATACATAAACAAAGAGACTGTCAAATTTCTTTGTACATAAGTAAAACGTTTATGTTTTAAACAATGTGCGGTCACATATTTGCGTTGATCTAAAATGTTGTTGCTCTGTAATTTTACTTTAAATTTAAGTTACTTTGAACGTTCCTTTTGAAGCTTCATAACTTAAACACCGACAAAACACACTAGTTTGCGATTTTCCTCGAACAAAAAACTCGGAATCCAAAACGCGACGTTTTTACGACATTTTAATAAGCAACAACAAGACCCGGAACTAAGAGGAGTGGAGTAGGTTAAGTTTTCCTCTTTGATCAACCCTTCCTGCAATCCACTGATTGATGATCCAGCCCAGGGTTTCCATCTACTCTTTACTGTGAGAACCCGATTTTAAATAAAACACAATTAACTTAATTGTTAAAAATGATAATATTCTGTGTCGTCTATTTCAATTTGGTTTCAATTAGAATTTTTTTTTTAAATGTAAAAAATACAAACAATACAAAAAAAGTTATTTGAACTTAAAATTGAACTTACTTCATAACTTAAATAGTAGGCCTAGGTAGCAATACAATTTGGACGTAATTAATTACCACATTACTACGTACTACATGACTCGTTGTTCAACACACGTTTGGGTAAAATGTGCATATAGATGCTAAAGTGGTGTTAAAAATTAAAAATCGGTTCGTTTTGTCGATTATTTAATTTCATTAGTGCATTTGATTTAAATAAACGAAACATTGTTATTTAGTATGTGTTTGCATCTGAACTGCCAGCGTTGATAAGTCTTGATGTCAGATGAATGCCAGTCTCTGATGCACTGCCTTAAGTCACCAATAGAGGACAGTGATGTGCAGGAGGTGAACTATTAGGGCACGTCTGAATTCATCGAAACTAGTTCTCACAGACTGCACAGCAGGCAGACTCACCTTTCTCAGACAATTTTATAAACCTTATTTTATTATAAATACCTTTTTGTGTTTTTTGTGTGTGTGTTTTTTACTGTCTGCAGTAGCCTATATTGGATAAAGGTTAATCTATAATCTGTATTTAAAAAAATTATTACAGGTATGAAATCTATGCTGACAGGTCATAATAAGTTAATTCTGGTTGGTCTCTATCTTCTCAGGGTTTTTCATTGGACTGTTTTAAAATGCCAGGGATCAGGGGTGGGAATGTTTGTTTTCCGTTTCACACACCGCTGAACATTCACAACAGCGCAAGGGTGAATGTTCAGTTGACAAGCTTCAGTGCTGAGATTTGAGCACTTAAAATCAGAAGAATGAAGGTTGATATTCATAATCATATTTTACCAAGGGAATGGCCAGACTTAAAACAGGTAGGTTGCTTAGGGTGGAACATTTATGCTTTTTTATGGGTCATTAAGGGTAACCAAGACTTCCAGGCTCACATGATGTATTTTTTTTTTCAATGTTTCACATAGCAGTTACCTTGATGCCTTTAAACTGCCTCTGATAGATTTTAATACAAAGGCCAACATTTGAATGGTGAACTGTGTATAGAAAATGTGCTTAGTCATATATAGTTCAATTCAATAATGTTTATTTATAGCGCTTTTTACAATGTAGATTGTGTCAAAGCAGCTAAACATAGTTCTAGTAAAAAATTAGTTTGTCTTTATTTTTGTATCTTTATAATCAGATATTATTATTGATATCAAGTATGTTGTCAGTGTTAAAAGTGTTAAATGAGACTGCCCGAACTTATGAAAGGAATGCTTCTGTTAAACATTAATGAAGGCGCTTGAACACTAACCCTGACCTTTATTGTTTGTTTATCTCAGTGAGCAAAGGGAATCCTTGTAATCATTTGTCAGGTGTTTTTTAATTTTTATTTGTCGTAAATCTGTTATATTATGCTGTTAAAGTACCTTATTTGACATCACACTAAAACAAACAATGAATCTAAGTGTAAAATAAAATTATTTTAAAATAAAATTATTTTTACAAGTTGATTTAATTAACATTGTACTAAATACTTCAGTCATCAAGATGAAATTAAAAGGATAAATATGAAACATGGTTAACTTTTTTTAATAATTTATGTAGAAATGCACTGCCTGTCTGGAAAAAAAGCAACTATTTGAATTTAGCAAGCACTGATCAGGACTTTATTGTTTTAATCAATGAAAGATCCCAACCAAAATTGAATGTACAACTTGTTGAAACTTTTGTCAAAGTTTGTCGAAACAGTGCCATGCTGAATGCACATAATCAAAGCTAAATATGTACCTATATACAGTATTTGACCCTGGTAAACCACTTTGTAAAGTCTAGTACATCCCAAAAATATTCAGTGGGGTTCAGGTCAATTGGTGTTCAAGTCATATGTGAAACTGAAGCCTTACAGTCTGAGCCCAATGAATCCTAAAATTGTCATCCTGGAATATGACTGGGAAAATGTCTTCTGACTTGATTGTTCTTGATATACACATTGCATCATTTAGGGTTAAAAGAATTGTTGATGTACAGCAAGATAAAGGCATATTAATCATTGTGATAAAAATCTAATGATATACTCTTAAGTATTTACTTAAATCCAAACAGACTTTTTATGGCAGACAATGTATTCTGTTAAATTTTTACAGTGAAATATTAACATTTTGGTTCATGATTCACAGAGATATGGATATGGTGGATTCGTTCAACTTCACCATCACTGCAAAGTAAGTTTAAAAAATGTTTATTTTATTGTTATTATTATTATTATGTATTGCCTTACACACCTGATCATTGCTGATGGAGAAAACCAGCTTGATCTGTAGCTCAGCCTGATGACGGTGGAAGAACACCAGCTGGACGGAAAAGGTTTTGCATGCCTGGCTATAGATCCAGCTGGCATGATCTCATGCTAGCTCTTCCTGAAAGTGTGAGAGTACATTACGACCCCCGTGAGGAATGAGTGGGCAGCAGAGACAGATCTGATCCTCCTCTCAGAGCAGGACGATGTTAAAGCATCTGCCAGCTTCTCCAAGTACCTGCAGGCCTTTAGATTAATTGGATTTCTCTGTACTGTGTTTCAGCTGCTTGTCTCTGGTGGTTTCTGGCCTACTCCTTTGCTTAGCTGATTTTTATTTATTTTATTTTTTTGCTTCGCTACAATAGGAGTTATTATTTTCAAATGGAAAGACTAAACAATTATGAGAAGAGATGCTCATTAATAATTATGTTTTGCTAGACTGAGCAGCACTTTTTTGTTGTTTGCCTAAATTCCTTTCCAGTGCTGCTTTTAATTTATTCGAATGAGAAAACTTCCTATAAAGCCCTTAGTTTTAAGAATACCTGCATGATAATCAGGAGGGTTTGTTGCTGGTGGAAAAAGAGGACAGCAGGCCTTCCCTTGGCTCCTCTCTGAGCAGCTGAGCTCCACATGGGGTTTAGCGTCAGTAAAATATCAGACCAACACTAGATCACCTTGAGTACAAATACTCTCACACAAACTCAGACTAATAAATCAGCCTGAGCCTATTTACCGTATAAGAAACAAAATGGAATAAAGAATGAAGGAATCTTAAATGAACTACAACCTCAATTCCAGGAAACTGCTCTTTTTACATTCTCTTTAATCTTTAAGAAAGGATTTTCAATGTTTTCACTGACCTAATCACTGATTATAATAATTATTTTAACTAGCAGGGTTCATGTTCAGCTTTAAAAGGAATATTTTTAAAGAAAATATGGATCAGGGCTCATCATTTTGTTCTGAAATTCATAAGAAGTTTGTATAACAAATCAAACCTCACATTGCTGAAGAGAATTAACAAACAACATAGTCTATATTTCAGAGAAAATGCTAAATGTAACAACATGTTAAGAATTGGAGTTGTATAGCAAAGTTTGATTAATTTAATAAGAAATTGTAGTATAACATGATTTAACACTCTGAACATAATATTGTATCTTTGAACTGAATATGAATATACACTGAACAGTATATGTGTAAAATGTAAATTTTATGCCAAAAACTTTCAAAAAAAGTTATAGCATTGAAATACTGAGTATTTGACTTTGCTCTTTACTGCCACCGGGTGTCTGAAAGTGCTAACTGTTATGTGACAAAAACAGTAGTTTTACCAGTGCATGATTACAGTGTAAAGTGTACCTGAAAGCCTCTTTAACTTCCACTCTAATATTTGTCGTTAATTATAATAAAAACCTAAACAGTTAGTCTACTTGTACTTGATATGCTGGTTTCATTCTGATTTATTACTGGCTGACGTCATGTCTGCTTCTGAAATATAACACAACCTGCTAATTCACCCACAATATAGCCTTAGTGACAGGTTTGGGTGAGTAGAACAAAAGACACAAGATAATACTCTGTTGACTGTAGCAATTCTTCTTTTGTAGCAGAAATAAAAAGTTAGGTGGCATGAAGAATGTATTGTATGACTGGATTACTCATAAATGTAATGTAGTAAACAGTACATACAGTATAGCCATTGAAAAATGTAGTCAAATAGAGAGGAAACGTTGCTATCTTTGATGGTAAGTCATCAGAGAATGTGGCCAAAACTATACATAAGTATAGAAAGTAATTCCATTTACTCAAACACCGTTTCTCACCATGGGCTTGTGTACCAGGGAGAAGCTAAAATGATGAAGGATGGAAAATTGTTCAGAGTGATCCAAGAGAACTGCTGGGATCCAGAGGCTCGGATTCGGGATATGGAAAAACATGGTAAATCCAGTAAAGCATTTCTAAAGTAAAAAAAAAACTACAGACTGCCTGTGTCCTGCTAACAGGACTATTTTGTACAGTTTTTGTTGCCTTTGTCCAGTCACATATTTTATAATAATGTGCACCTTTTGTAAAGCTGCTTTGGAATGATAATTATTCATTTATTCATTAATTTTTAGCTTAGTCCCTTTATTAATCTGGGGTCGCCACAGCGGAATGAACCGCCAACTTATCCAGCATATTTTTTACGCAGCGGATGCCTATCCATCACTGGGAAACACCCATACACTCTCATTCACACACATACACTACGGACAATTTTAGCTTACCAAATTCACCTGTACCGCATGTCATGGACTGTGGGGGAAACCGGAGCACCCGGAGGAAACCCACGCCAATGTGGGAAGAGCATGCAAACTCCACACAAAAGTGCCAACTGACCCAGCCGAGGCTCGAACCAGCGACATTCTTGCTGTGGGGTGACAGCACTACCTACTGTGCCACCGCATCTCTTTATTGTAAAAAAAAAATGTTAAATATATAAAATGATATACAAATAAGCTAAATTAATTTGAACTGCAGTATATGTCATTTGATAGCAAAAACATATCATGTGAAAATTATTTGAGAGTCAAGGTTTAATATTTGTCTTTGATGTGAATTTGCTATTGCCCCTAAACAAAATCATACAGGAACCTCAACTGTTGTATTATCAATTCAAAATTGGAAAACTACTTAAGCTTGATTTGATTGTCTAGAAATTTGACACAGAATAATTTCATAAAATATAGATTGTGTAGGCGACTCAGTGGCGCAGTAGGTAGTGCTGTTGCTTCACAGCAAGAAGGTTAGGGCCTCAGTTAGCGTTTCTGTGTGGAATTTGCATGTTCTCCCTGCGTTCGTGTGGGTTTCCTCCGGGTGCTCTGGTTTCCCCCAGATTCCAAAGACAAGTGGTACAGTTGAATTGGGATGGCTAAATTGTTTATGAGTTTGTGTGTGGATGTTTCCCAGAGATGGGTTGTGGCTGGGGAAGGGCATCTGCTGTGTAAAAACATGCTGGATAAGTTGGCGATTCATTCTGCTGTGGCGACCCCGGATTAATAAAGGGACTAAGCTGAAAAGAAAATGAATGAAAGAATGAATATATTGTGTAAAAAATAATAACGTTTCTTCTCGCTAAACAAACCTTTAAAGCAGGGGTCTCAAACTCGCGGCCCGCGGGCCATTTGCGGCCCTCAGTGCAATATTTTGTGGCCCGCGCCGACCGCTGTACACTGACAGAATCAGCGGAGCGGGGAGAAAGAGCGCTTCCAGCTCCGCTGATTCTATCCGTACACAGCGGTCACTGGCATTCCCCGCCCGTCGTGTAAACAAAGGAGCGGGGATGCCGGTGACGTCACCACGCACCCCGCCCCTTTGTTAGACGCTGTGACGGGCGGGAAGAACCAAGGTAAGCTGTTCCCGCCCCTGCCTGCCACTCAGCTACATCCTGTATCTTACAGGGCTCGAAATTGCGACCATTTTGGTCGCATATGCGCCCGAAAATTAATCTATGCGACCTCATAATATATTTGGGCGCATTAGTGCGACTGATGATAATGGTTGTAGTGCGACCTGTTTTGATTTTTTGTAAAAACATGCTGAATCGCTCTTCCCTGCCTCTATATTGGTTCATATTAGCTGTCAATCACTCAAGGTATTCCGCTGTCAGATGACAGGGAAGGAGCTTTTATGACCACGGGAAATGCAAACGGCAGAAGAGTAAAAACTTAAAGCACAGAGGTTTGCAAACCCCACCTAAAATTGACGTGCAGATGAGAGCGATCATGACACGTCATGTGGTGAATAATGATCCACCAGCTGAGATCAATCGAGTACGCGCTTCATGGAGAAGGCGCCCGAATCTCCATGCGTTGCATTCACTGCGTGTTCAGCGCAAATGTCCGCTAAAAGTCAAATCTAATACTGTACATATCATTGCCAAAGAAGCTCGCCTTTACTAAATTTACACTGAAACTGCGTCTCATAACAAACAGCGGTATTCCGCCGGTGGTCATCGCAAGAATCTTGCGCTGCCTGCTCATAAATTGGGTCGGCTGACTCGCCAGCTTTTCCACTAACACAGAAAAATGAAGATCATCTCAGACTGAACCTTTAAATTGACACAAACTGAAACCAAATCTTTTAAAGTGATAGAAGTGAGACTTTACTTTCTTTTGTCTATTCTTTTTTGAGGTGTATATTATTTTTATTTTTTTATTTATTTACTGATGACTGCTTTGCAGCTTTCATCATTGAATTGAATGATTTATTATAATCTTTTGTTTGTTTTGTAGCAGAAATATTATTTATTAAATTGACATGCATATAAAAACAGCAGTACAAAATAAATATTTCTTACTGCAATGCTTCATTTTTGTTTGATGCAAACTATACAATTATTTTTCATAAAGTAACAGACTTTTTATAGCAGATAACATACATTCATGCACATTCAAGGCAGTATCATAATGAGAAATGTAATTCATTTTTACTATTATTGTCATTTTCATCATCATTAATATTCTATAATTATTAGACATTCATTTTGGAATTATTGCACACAAATATCAATGTCTTCGCAGCATTAGTAAGATAGTTTTTTCTGGTTTTTGTCAGTCCTATTGATGTTGTTTTAAAATACAATAAATCCCTTAAAAAGCAATTTGCAGCGGTGCTCAATCATTTTTGGTGGATGCTCCTAAATTTTTTCTGGTGCTCCTAAATTTATTTTGGTGCTCCTAAATATTTGAAGTTGGGAGCACCGGTGCTACCAAGTAAAAAAGTTAATTTCGAGCCCTGTCTTATATATATTATAGGTAGATACAGACTGGTACAGACTGATGTGACTGGAGTGGGGTGGGGGTGTTTTATTTATACATATATACGCCTTTTTTTTAGGTGAGGGAATGGAAGTTTTGAGTGAGTTCCCCCACTTTTTTCCCTAGGACTAGGTCTTTTTGGGAGCACATATTTGTGTGAGAAGTTATTCTCCACCTTGAACTTCAATAAGTCAAAGTACAGGTCTAGACTTAATAATGATCATCTTCAAGCCATACTGAGGGTCTCAACTGCTTCCGCTCTAAAGCCAAATGTGGTTCAGATTTGTGAGAAGAAGCGTTGTCAAGTCTCTGGCAGTAAGGAGTAGGCAAAAGATGCCATGTTCAGAAGAACTGTTCATAATCTTCACTCAATGTTCTATTAATGTTCAGGACACTTCATGTTCAGAAGAAATAATTAAAACTGTTAATAATGGCATTTGAGGACTTTTTTTTGTGAAATCCCTTATGCGGCCCAGCCTCACCCAGACTTTGCCTCCTGTGGCCCCCAGGTAAATTGAGTTTGAGACCCCTGCTTTAAAGTTTACTTTTTTTACAGTTTTGCTATAGCCTCTGATACCATTTATTTCTACATTATGTTCAAACCAGTTCAACTTTAGTTCATTATTTAATATTACAGTAATATTACAGTACAGCCAATTTGCACTTTAGGAAAGCCCAGCTGATTACAGAGCAAAGTATTCAGCAACAAAGTGATTTGGCTATTGTTTTTTTTTTTTTTTTTTTTGCATAGTGGGTGAGTGAATTGTTGAATAGTGAATTGTGAGTGAGTGAATCATTTTTATTGTTTTCAGGTGTGACAGTACAGGCCCTTTCCACTGTACCTGTGATGTTTAGCTACTGGGTAAGAATCACTGAGAAACGTTTTTTTTTTTTTTTTTTTCATATAATTTTTTTTGTGCTACATAACAGCAATTTAATAATCAATAGAATAAAAGACAAAACAGTATAGTAATATGATAAGAAATACCAGTTTGCAGTATGAAGCAGAACAACAAGCTTTTTTAAAGATTGCAGGTAACAATAGCAGACAGAAAACATTTACAAAGGGTTGTCACTCTTATGCAATAAATAAATAATTAAATAAATATGTATTATTTTATATCAGTGTTATTCTCCATTTCTAAAGGCCAAACCTAATGACACACTGGACTTGTGTGGGATTCTCAATGATGATCTGGCTGCTACAGTAAAGCAATATCCAAAGCGCTTCGTTGGGTTAGGTACTTTGCCCATGCAGGCCCCTGATCTGGCAGTACAAGAGATGAGACGCTGTGTGAATCAGCTGGGCTTTCCTGGAGTGCAAATTGGCTCTCATATAAACACATGGGACCTCAATGCCCCAGAGCTGTTTCCTGTCTATGCTGTAAGTGCCATTGCCTTTTGTAGAACATTCAGAAAATTGTATTTTATTGTCAACAATATTTTTCACCTTACAACAGGCCGCCGAAGAGCTGGACTGCTCGCTATTTGTGCATCCATGGGACATGCAGACAGATGGTAGAATGGCAAAATACTGGCTGCCATGGTTAGTTGGTGAGTTTAAATCAGTGTTTTAACATGACATTTGTGCTTGTGTGTGTGATTGCATTTTATTTTGATATGATGTTCCCACACACCTCTTTTAGAAACATCACTGGGCTTTTGTTGTTTTGCTTTTCATTCGAACAGGTATGCCAGCAGAGACTACAATGGCAATTTGTTCCATGCTTTTTGGAGGTGTTTTTGAAAGATTTCCTAAACTTAAGGTCTGCTTTGCTCACGGAGGTAAAAATAAATTAATTTATGTTGTATGATATTATGTGGACTGCAAAACAACCTTATAGGGCTATAGCAATAAACTGAAGGCACTTAGAGTATTGAGGCATATGTTCGCTCATATTATGTGTTCCAGGCGGTGCTTTTCCATACACTGTTGGCCGAATTGAGCACGGATTTAAAGTGCGACCTGATCTTTGTGCTACTGACAACAAGATCAACCCACGCAAATATTTAGGGTCCTTCTACACTGATTCCCTAGTGCATGACCCACTTTCACTGAAGTTACTCGTTGATGTCATTGGAAAGGTAGGCTAGTTATTTTCATTCTTGCATCAACCATCTTACTAAATCTCTCTGTAACAGAAGAGGCACCTTGCTGGTTAACTAGTGACTCATCCAAGCAATTTACCAATGTAAAGACTAACCAAAGTAATAGTAAAACTAGTTTTACAAGCACAGGACTTTTGTATTCTTTTTGCAGGACAAAGTGATGTTAGGAACAGATTATCCATTTCCACTGGGGGAACTGGAGCCAGGTACATTGATCGAATCCATGGATGAGTTTGATAGCTTACTAAAGGCAAGATATCTATCTATCTATCTATCTATCTATCTATCTATCTATCTATCTATCTATCTATCTATCTATCTATCTATCTATCTATCTATCTATCTATCTATCTATCTATCTATCTGTCT